ATTCTCATAATTGTATTACTTTATTCTCATGATATTATGGCTTTATTCTCGGAATTTTATTACGTTATTCTCGTAATTTTACGACTTTATTCTTGAAATAGAAGAAAAAAAATCTCTATCCTGGCCCTAATACTGCGTCGTAAGTAATTATCAGTATTTACATGTTAGAAAAAGTAATTTTCAAATCAATAAAAAAAAGTGCCACATTTTTAGGCCAACGTGTTAAACTAGTTTTGGATCCCTTTAAAAAACGCAAACCTTTTGAAGATCAGGATGTTAGAGAACCATGATGTCACCTCCAAAGGAAATGTGGTTTTATATCTACCAGCTCAAAGTTCAGGTTTGGATCGTAATCGATAAGCAGTATAAACTGTGTATACAAAATGACAATAAAAGTTGTCTAAGAGTCAGAACGAGAACAATGAGGCGAAAAAACCTTCAGGATAGAATTCAATTTAATCAACATGTGCCAAAAGATTTTTAATAGTCTCTAAAAATCATAAAAATACTTTACTTTTGCTAAGTAGCACTATAGGTGCACTAAGAGGTATTAGCTCAGATCCTCCACACAACTGTTGGACTTCTGCTGTTTTGCAGTTGTTTCTATTTCTATGTTTTTATGCACAGTTTTACAGGTTCTTTATCAGTTTAAATGTCCTATTTAGTTCTTTTATTTGGATTATGCAATTTTAACAACTGCGCATTGGGTAATAAATATGGATTCTTTTGATCAATGCGCAAGCCCCAAACTCTTCATGATGATAACAAGGGGCTGGTGACCAGCAGAGTAATTACAACAACATTCAGGTAAATGACCCCTTCAGCTTGTAGATAAAGGGATGTTTATCATTGCTGATGACCAGAACATTTTTGAAAACTTTCTGGCAATATATCACTGCCAAAGTTCAGCACTCATGTCCTCCTTCTGGGGTCCTTCATATTTTGGGAATGTAATGAAAACTATGTTTTCCTGCCTGGTTGGAGAATCCTTTTATCGATAAACATGGACTGCTCTACTGTATGTCCCTCGTTGCTACAGAGCACAGTCACTCTGAAATCATCTCAAAGATGCAAATGATGACAAAAATCTGAATATGTTGGTATTTTTGTACAAAAACTAATATTTAATGTACCGGTAAACTAGTGTACAGCAGCTATTTGGCTGAATAAGAAGTGATTCAGCTTCTCCATGTGTTATTCTCAACAATAACACAAACAGAAATTAGAACATGTTGTACTTAAAAAATCCAACAGCATCATTGCCAGATCTGCATCAGTTTTACATCCTGTTTTTTGTCTGAGGTTTTGCTGTGGAGTAAACTCTTTGCCCAAATGTACTTTTAATGATCTGATTCAGGTTTTCTCCATTCTTTGATCACCTGTGAGCAGCGAGGGGCCTCTAGCCACTGATGCCAATGAGCTGCTGGAAAGCTGCCTGTTTGCTGGCAGACCGAGAACAGAGCTCCAGGACTGCTACTGGATCAGTGGCATAAAAAAGTTGGATGTGTGTTTTTTCAGGCGAAGCCTTTAGGAAGAGGTGACAGGTCGCCAGCCGCCTTATCAACAATTAGATTACAAACACATGGACTAGAAGAGGATTTATTAAGGTAGAAACGTTACTGAGGGATGCTCTATTTCATCCATATTCTTGGTATTAATCTACTTTATAAGCATTGTTCCTGATGTAGTCATGGTACCAGTGTTGTAGTACTCGAGACCGGTCTTGAGACCATCTTTTTATGGTCTCGGTCTCGTCTCGGACTTGACCGCATTTGGTCTCGTTCTTGTCTCGGGCTTGGGCGCTGAGGACTCTGCATTTTATTTCGAGACCAGTCAAGACCACAACTGTGGAAATAACGCTAATCATCAGAATATTATTAGTTTCTTTAAGATCCTTATTTTTATTGGATGCTTGGATTCAAATCCAAGCAATAACCTGTCTTATTGGTAAATGCATGTTTTTTTTTGTTTGTTTTTTGTTTTTGTTTACCGCTGTCACGCCCACCCCCTTTCACCTGCGCGCGGGCTGCAGCACTTCGATTGAAAGTCAAAAGTGGTTGTCTGAAAACTGGATAAGATGTCGGCCAAATCATCGGTTATTAAATTCAGCTATTTAAATCACAAAGAATATATTTGTAAATTAAACATTGAGAAAAAAGCATAAAGCGCAATGTAAGTTCTGCACACTGGAAAAAATCGAAATCTAGATGAGTAATTATTTCCTAAATTAAGTGCATTTGTTCCTTGATAGAGGAGGTAAAAGTGACATTTTGCCAATGGAACAAGACAATTTACACTTAAAATTAGAAAACACAATTGCGTTGGCTTATTTAAAGTTCATATTATCTAATTATCTTCTTTC